CCCCAAAACCCCAAAACCCCGAGTTTCTTCAATAGATCAGACTCAGAAATTCAGAAGAATTTATTAGACAATAACATAAATTTTTAATACATTTGTAATAAAATTTTGCTTAAATCAAAATAATAACAACTACTCTGAAAACATAAACAAAATGGAAATAATGAAATAACTTATAATACCCGCATCAATTCCTAGTATTGATCAACGAATTAAACCACATGATAATATGATACTATTATCAAGGAGTTAAAACTTTAGCAAATAAAAAGCTCAAGAAATTACCTTCAAGAATCTGTAGCCTAAGGTAAGTATTAAGATCACAAGATTCTAAAAATATTGTCATAAAATCCGCTAAATAAAAACCAAACGACTTTATGTAGATTGAGGTTACTTATTTAGAAGGAAGAGGAAGAGATGAAGCTTTGAATCCATTCTTTACCAATAGAGATGGAAACAATGCAGTTCAAGAACTTTTTGTCTATGATGACTTTGTGGTTGCTCTTTCTGTGCACGGTGTATGCACTGCTTACAATAAAAGTAAATCCTCTTGACTCAACAATCATTTTAGTTACGAAGCAAGTTTAGATCGTGAATCACAATCAGAAAGAAAAGATAAGGAGTATTTTTATGAATAATCTAAATGACTCTATCTTTGTTGTAAGTGTTAGAGAAAGGTAGGACTGCTCTAAGATGAAGTGTAGAAGCTTGCCAATAAAGTAAGATACTAAACTTTACCCATCTCCCTGATTTTAATTCTGTTCTGATGTATAGATAGTTGAGGGAGGGAAATAACAAGGGGCTAAAATTGTTTTCAAATTTTGTATTAAAGTGGCCAGATTTTATTGAATTTGATGAATTAAACAGTAAAATTGTGACAAAACACACTGAAGAAGGAGCCTACAGAGTATGGTCCCTAGAAACTTATCAAATGCTATACGTGCTTACTCATGAATTCTTAGCAGAATTTAAGATATGGTATGACAAAATCATTTTGTGATTTATTTCTCTTTTAGCAACGGAGTCATGCTTTTACTTTTTAATCCTGTCGGAAATTCAATACCTATGACTATAATTAATGTCCATAATGGTGAACCTCTAATGAATATAGCCTATCAGGGCTAATTAGGGGAAATTGAGTTTGTTGAGCAATTCAACGAGAATATACTCATCAAATAAAAGGACAAGCCTTTGAAGATTCATGATATTTTGACAAATTAATCTAAATTCATATATAACTTCGAGAGTCCCGATGCCTTCATTTTTGTCTATGAAAAGGAACTCTTTGTGAGTTTGAGAGAAGGCAAGATTACCATATGGTCAACCGATGGGTCAATGGTCACTAAGTAAGTCATAAAATGGATTAATAAACTTCTTTATAGTTTCAATCAATAAGTACTATATTCTTAAGAGCCTGAAAGGAGGAAAATCTAGGAAAGAAATTATGTTATTTCTCTTTCAACTTCAAGAAGATTCTTATTTACTGTCATTAAAGAGGAATAGCTGCCAGCTAATCAAAATAATTTGGAAAATCCTGAAAATCCTCATCATGGAATTCTTTTGTAAGCTCAAAGTTTAACTACAAGCAGCAATAGAGTTCTCACACCAAATTAAACTTCATTGAGATCTAATATTAACATAGAACCTCCAAAAAAATCAACAGATGTTATAATAAATGTCATTGACATTTAAAAAGGAAAGCTAATATCTGAGATTAGAGCCTCAACTTCAAAGAAAAATAATCTAAAACTTTCTCCCAAAAAATTTGAAAAGCTCATGAATACTATTACATATGTTTTCTACGATGAACTCAGGCACGAAGTTATTACTGGGCATGAAAGTGGTAGCGTAGTAATATGGAATTGAATATAAATAAAATAATCGTAATAGATGTGAATTATCATAATTTAATTTAGGGAAATATATGTCATAAATCTCATTTTAATTCATCGATCGGGGTTTTGGGGTTTTGGGGTTTTGGGGTTTTGGGG